CCTAGGTTAGGGGACTAACTTAAGTCTTTAAATCCATCTGGAGATTTATTTTGTATAAATGTAAGGAAGGGATGAGTTTTCAGGCTTTCTGCTATGTTGCGCGTTTTCCCAAGCACTTATAAATAGGTTCCTTCCCATTTCTTCTTTTTGTTTCATGGTTGTTAAATCAGATGGTCCTGTAGATGGGCGTGTTGGTTATTCTGAGCTCTGGTCTGTTCCTTGGTCTGTTATCTCTGTTTTGGTACCAGTCGATGCGGGGTGTGTGGTTACTGTAGGCCTTGTAGTACAAGGTTTGAAAGTACAGGTAGCATGATTGCCTCCAGGCTTTTTCTTTTTGCTTGTAGATTGTCTTGGCATGCGGCGCTCTTTTTGGTATCCATATGGAAACTTTAAAGTAGTTTTTTTTCCGTTTCTTGTTAGAAAAGTCCATTGGTAGCTGATGGGATGCATGAATCTTAAATACCTTGGGCAGTAGGCCAGTTTAGCAGATATTGATTTCTTCTACATGAGGCAATGGAAGTTCTTCCATTTGTTTGTGTCCTCTTATTTCATTGAGCAGTGGTTTGTAGTTCTCCTTGAAGAGGTCCTTCACATCGCTTGTAATCTGGATTCCTAGGTATTTTATTCTCTTTGAAGCAGTTGTGAATGGGAGTTCACTCATGGTTTGGCTCTCTGTTTTTCTGTTATTGGTGTGTAAGAATGCTTGTGATTTTTGCACATTGATTTTGTATTCTGAGACTTCACTGAAGTTGCTTATAAGCTTAAGGAGAGTTTGGGCTGAGACGATGGGGTTTTCTAAGACGATGGGGTTTTCTAAATATACAATCATGTCATCTGCAAACAGGGACAATTTGACTTTCTCTTTTCCTAATTGAATACCCTTTATTTCTTTCTCTTGCCTGATTGCCCTGTCCAGAACTTCCAACACTATGTTGAATAGGAGTGGTGAATGAGGGCATCCCTGTCTTATGCCAGTTTTCAAAGGGAATGCTTCCAGTTTTTGCCCATTCAGTATGATATTGGCTGTGGGTTTGTCATAAATAGCTCTTATTGTTTTGAGATACGTCACATCAACACCTAGTTTATTGAGAACTTTTAGCATGAAGTGCTGTTGAATTTTGTCAAAGGCCTTTTCTGCATCTATTGAGATAATCATGTGGTTTTTGTCTTTGGTTCTGTTTATGTGATGGATCATGTTTATTGATTTGAGTATGTTGCACCAGCCTTGCATCCCAGGTGTGAAGCCGACTTGATCGTGGTGGATAAGCTTTGTGACGTGCTGCTGGATTCGGTTTGCCAGTATTTTATTGAGGATTTCACATCGATGTTCATCAGGGATATTGGTCTAAAATTCTCTTTTTTTGTTGTGTCTCTGCCAGGCTGTGGTATCAGGATGATGCTGGCCTCATAAAATGAGTTAGGGAAAAGGATTCCATCTTTTTTATTATTTGGAATAGTTTCAGAAGGAATGGTACCAGCTCCTCTTTGTACCTCTGACATTTGTACCTCTGATTCAGCTATGAATCTGTCTGGTCCTGGCCTTTTTTTGGTTGGTAGGCTATTAATTATTGCCTCAATTTCAGAGCCTGTTATTGGTCTATTCAGGGATTCAACTTCATCCAGGAGCTGGTTTTTTGAAAAGATCAATAGATAGACTGCTAGCAAGACTAATAAAGAAGAAAAGAGAGAAGAATCAAATAGATGCAATAAAAAATGATAAAGGGGATATCACCACCGATTCCATAGAAATACAAACTACCATCAGAGAATACTATAAATACTTCTATGCAAATAAACTAGAAAATCTAGAAGAAATGGGTAAATTCCTGGACACATACACCCTCCCAAGACTAAACCAGAATGAAACATCCAATTAACCTTTAAAATTCAGCCCAAATATCAGTTTCTCCAGGAAATTTCTCTGTCTTCTTCCTAATCCTCGTCCGATGGAATGATGGAATGGAATCCATGGAATCCAATGGAAGCCTCATCCAAGCTTCCACCACAGCCCCTGGAGAATGTTTCTCAACGTGTAGGCCTTCATTAAAGGTTTTAATTCAATTTTGAATTCTTTAAAGAATACGATTTTACCCCATTATCTCTGCATCCCCAGTCCTGTGACGAGGGCGGGGGACCCCGGGAAACACCGTTTCTCGGTGGATGTGAATGGGCTCTGTGACGAGGCTGGACCCGGATGGTTTCTCTGGATGTGATTGCCTGGACCAGGCTGGGGACCCCTGAACACGGTTTCTCAGTGATGTGAGTCTGTGACGAGCGACCGAAAACACGTTTCCTGTGGATGTGACATGGCCTGTGACTGAGGCGGGACCCCGGGAAACGCCTTTTCTCGTGGATGTGAATGGCCTGTGACGAGGGCGGGGGACCCCGGGAAACGCCGTTTCTCGTGGATGTGAATGGCCTGTGACGAGGGCGGGGGACCCCGGGAAACGCCGTTTCTCGTGGATGTGAATGGCCTGTGACAAGGGCGGGGGACCCCGGGAAACACCGTTTCTCGTGGATGTGAATGGCGTTTTCGCCATCACTTTAGGCTTCTTGACTCTTAGTTCATCTCTGCCTCATGTCACTTTGGCCCTACATCCCTTTGCTAGAATTTTCTGGTGTTTTGAAGTATTTTCATGTTGAATAGCAATTTCAGAGCATCAATGTGTTACTCGGGGTGCTATTTATTTAAATGTCAAATCCACGTAATGTGGCCACAGTCAGAGTTTCATATCCCAGGCATATCTTCAAGTCATAGGAAAGGACAGAAAACCCAAAAGCTGCCTGATGAGCCATTGTGTTGTGTGAATTCTTCCATCAGAAAGCTTTTTAAACCCATTTCTTTCTTTCCCAGACAACTATGTTCCCGAATTGACTGATGATGGGACTAAGCCACAGATGCTGTTGAGGCCACTGCCCAAGCCCTTTCTTCTTAGGCGACTGCTGGTCTCCTCCCAGCTTGCTCCCAACTGCACTGCCTGCCCCCTCCATGCCCTCTCTCAAGCTGCCACTAACTTGTTTTTTCCTAAAACATATTTGCAACTCGTCCTCCCCATGCTCAGGAAAGGCCAGCAGCTGTCTATTCAGCTGGACCAGCGGGGCCTCCCGGGACATCCCTTCCACCTCTGCACACGGCCCTGGCTCAGGCCTGTCGTGTGCGCCATCCAGTGTTGTCTTTCCAACATTCCACCTCAGGCACCTCCTTGACCTGCAGCATTCCCAGCAAATGGACTCATTCATTCATTCATTCATTCATTCATTCACTCAATAACTGGATATCAAGCCTCTAGATACAAGTCATAGAGACAGTCTCTTTTCCTTCCTTTCACACCTACACAAACAATTCTCATGGATCACAGCTTTCCCCGAGCATCTTTCCTCGGCTTCCACTTCCCATTGGCTCCTCCTTTGCTGAAGTTTTTGTTTTGTTGTTAAATCTGGCACATCGTTATATCTGTTCATAGATATAGCCCATTAAGAGATTTTTAAGCTAATTAAATGAGCTTATGTTTGTATTATATGTATGTTTTTATCCCATGATACCATAATACTTAGCCAAAGTATTCATCAATAAATAGCTGCTGGTTAGTTGATATAAACATTAAATCAGGCACTGTCCATGTGGATTTCTGATGCCGTTCGTATTGTATCTGTTGAGTCGTGCCTTGCTAGTGCTGTAGTTTATTTTAGCAGCAGGTCTACCCTGTTCTTTTCTGGAGTGTGCATCGAATAGCGCCACGGGCATCTAATGGGTCTTCTTCATTCAGTTCCAATGTTCTTCCTCTAAACCATGGAGGAAGTGGCTGTGGTGTACCCTGTGAGCCGGTGTAGAGGCCGTTCAGTGGGGCTCTGGCCAGCTTCTACTGCTCATCTCTTCTTAACTCCCTGTCGGCTTGAGTAGAGTTCTTCTGCTCTCCAGTTTGCCATGCGCAGACACTTGACGTACTGTGGGAATATTTGCTGAACTAATGTACTCACATGTATTTGCCATGCAACAGCACGCTCCTGAGGCTTAGAGGGAGCATAGGCAGACATGTGATTTTTTGGTTCCTACTCCAAAACCTTCTACTCAAATGATCTTGGTTTTAACTCAGGTAGTCTGAATTTTAGTTTTCTTGTGTATTAAATAGGTATAATAAAAATACTTTCCTTACAAAATTGTTGTGAAGATCCCACAAAGTAATATAAAAGCATCTGTAATGTCTCAAGTATAAGATGTGTTAGTTCCTATGAGTGGAAGGTCTAGATGCCTCAAAGGAAACCTAGCAGTTTAGATAAATGTGGAGGATAGTTGCATTCCCGGAACTAACCAATATTGAGAGTGCATCCCTCATGGTAAAACATGTTCTTCCACTATACCTACAGCCTCTTGTCTTAACCGCTTAATCAGATTAAACCTTTCAGTTACAAGGAGAATCTAAATATTATATACATATAAAATGTGCATGTGTATATATAAATATAATGTATATGTTATATATAATGTTTATATAATATTTAGATTCTTATAACTGAAAGGTTTATATATATACACACAAAATATATGTTATATATAAATATATGTTTTATATATACATAAGATATATAAAAATACATATATAAAATATATATATTTACCTTCTTGTAAACCTAATGGCTGTTATATTCTTGGTACAAATTACAACTCAGAAGCACACAGGTATGCCTCCATCAAATTCTTGAAAAGAGAGTAAATAGATGGTACTTCAAGATTCATCAAAATCTACCCCATTATAGAGGGCAAGGGCCTCCTGACTCAGTGTTCCCTACATTGAATCCCTCTGTTTATATTTGTTTGAATAATACATTTAGATTGCCTGACCCCGGTCTTACCCACCCCCTGCCCTTGTAGGGGCTTCCCTTCACGGAATGAAACAGGATTAAAGCCTCATCAATAGAATGCCAGGGAGAGCGAGCCACCCCTACAGGGCTGGCCAGCACAGGCCGGATAAGCACATTGACTGCTGCTAATCTATCCCCAGATGGAGGTGGACACCGAGGAGAAGCGGCATCGCACGCGGTCCAAAGGGGTTCGAGGTACGTCCGCGCTTCCCTGCCTCCTGAGGCCAGCTCAGGGTCACCTTCGTCCTGCGGAACCGAGGTCGATTCACTCTGACCCCACTTTCACGCCACCCTTTTGGTAATTTTCTGTGGAAGAGGGGTGCTTGTGATGGATGGTAAATTGTTATCTATTTCCATCTCTCTGCAGTTCCCGTGGAACCAGCCATACAAGAGCTGTTCAGGTTAGTGCCATGTGGGTAAAATGCATCCCCATTTGCAGTTTGGAAAATTCACGCCTTCTAATGGGCACACTGCACTTTCGAGCTCATGGGTGGCCTGCTCACACCCCGCTGCACTGATGAAATTAATTCCCCCAAGACTTGCTCGTAAAAAGCCTCCCCGAATTGCCCCCTCCTTTGGATTGTGTGATTTCTCTCCTCTGTCCGGGCCGCCCTCCTCTCTGCTGCCACGGAAGCTTTCCGTCTCACCCGCCTGCCTGCGGCACCGTGTAATCCGTTCTTTCCTGTTGCAGCTGTCCCACCCCTGGCTGTGACGGCAGTGGTCATGTCAGTGGCAAATATGCAAGACACAGAAGGTAATGCCTGCATTTTTTTTCCACAATGTGCTGCCTAAAGTGACTTATTTGGGGACCTCGTCCTAATGATGAAATGTGTGGGCAGGTGTTGCTGGAAAGCAATACACGTTATGCTTGCTTTCTCTTCTCTCACGGGAACTCAGTCTTTGTCTCTTGAAGGGGTTCTCGGTTAAACATAAGCCGTTCTATCTCGTGGGCAGAATAGGTGACCTTCCTTAGGATGACACAAATTCAGGCCAGCCTTAAACTCATTTCCCATCTGCATCTGTGGTGCTCAGCACATGGCCCCCTGAGAGCCCCCCCTGCTTACCGAGGAGCCCTGCTTCTCCTTCCTCACTTCCTCATTCTGGGAGCGGCAGGATGGTAAACAATGAACGGTCAATTAAAATGTGACCTTCTGACCTCTCTGTAGACTCCATTTCCACCATTTAACGAGGTTCATCCTGGGAAACTAAGCCCATTCTTACATCTGGACGGCTGCAGGGTGAGGTCAGGTCAAGTGAAGGTCAGGGCAGATCAAGCTTGCAAGACTTGGGGACTGCAGTGATTACATTTATCTTGTAAATACTGGCATTTCAGGTCTGCGACAGGGATGGGTGTGGAAAACCTTTAGAAACTAAGGGGGATGGTGATGATTTTGCTCAAAATGGATCATGACAGAATTATATGTTACATGCCCGTGGCTGACTTTCAGGTACACATCAGTCCTTTAGATGTTTTTCTGGTAAGCGCTTTTTTCCCCATGCTATTCATGAAGACGTGTCTTTCAATAGAAAGGTTTCAGTTATGATGAGGTAAAAGAGTTCACAGGCTAAAATATGTTTTTAGCTTTACTTTTACAAATTGGGTTGCAAAGACCAAGGTCATTCCAGCCTCACAAACCCTCCGTGAGCAGACCCAGGTCACAAAACTGATTCTAAAGCAGGTGCATCTGCAGCATATCTGGGAGGCCCCCCTCACGGCCTTGCATTTCGTTTCCTTTTTAGTGAAACATTATGAGTGACATCAAGCAATTATTTTGATTGTTCTTTAGTAAAATCAAAAGAAAAATTACAAACTACTCCCAAATCCCCATGCTAGCATTTGTGGAGGCAGGAATGTCTAATGAGCGCCCCTCATTAAATGATTGTCTGACTTCCTCTGTTACAAACCAATGGAATTGTGGGCTATTTTTCAGATAATTTTGCAATTTCAATGATTAAATTTAGTCAATTATATTATGATTGTTATTGTATAAAATAGTAAATTATTGAATTACATAATTGAAATAAGTAAAGTATTATTTTATGAAGAAATATATATGTCAGCAGTTAATCTAAAAGTCTAAAACACTGCATTGTTTATGTTTTCAAAAGAAGTTAGTCACCCATGAGAAAAATTCGTTTTCCCCTAATCATCTGTTCATTAGTCAGTAGTTAAACTTTATCACACTGTTATATAAAAATTAAATTTGGCAAAAATAAAACTAGCCAGGCAAGGTGGCGGGCACCTGTAGTCCCAGCTACTCAGCAGGCTGAGGCAGGAGAACCTGGGAGTGGAGCTTGCAGTGAGCCGAGATCCGGCCACTGCACTCCAGCCTGGGTGACAGAGCGAGACTCCATCTCAAAAAATTTTTTATTCTAATTTTTATGTGTACATAATAGGTGTATATACTTAGGGGGTATATGAGATATTTTGATACAGGCAAACAATGTGAAATAATCACATCATGAAAGATGGAATCTTCATCCCCTCCAGCATTTATCCTTTGTGTTACAAACAATTCAAATATCCTCTTTTACTTATTTTTAAATGTACAATTATAAAAAGTTGTAAAGAGGTGTGAGCTACATTTAATTTTATAGCCATCGTTTTGCAGGAAAAATCATGATGTTTCCAAATAATTTGAAACATTCCTATCCTTAACCAAGGTGCATTCCACTGCAAAATGAATGGATGTGTCCCATGTAATATGTGTATGAATCTGTTCCTGAGACCTCTTTCCCTGCTTAAGAAATGCTCCCTAGAGTTTGATTTGAAAACAAGTTGGGCTTTTTCTTCTTTCGGAGACTTGCCGCTGACTCATTAGTGCAGAAGCGCCTGAGCCATAGAGGAACCATTAGTTGGGATGATAGGGAGGAGTCACGGAAATGCTCCGGTCAGGAGCTCTTTCCAGTAAATTTTTGTTTAATTTTTTAAAAGTCATCATTTTTGCCATGACTCATGTGGTATGTAATTATTAGAATACCAAGTATTTTAATACACGCAGTTATCTAGGAGATCTAATGTGGTAGAGTTGAAAAAGAACTATTTCCCGGTTCCTTGGCCCGATGCTGGCTTTCACTGCATCACTAATAGACCAGGAGCTCTGGACAACTTACGTAAGGTCTACGGCCTTCAGTTTCCTCCATTCTAAAGTAAGAGACTGGCAGACTTTATTATGTAAAACCGGTGCAAAAATGTTGCCTGTAATCCCAGCACTTTGGGAGGCTGAGGCGGGTGGATCACGAGGTCAGGAGATTGAGACCGTCCTGGCTAACACTGTGAAACCCCGTCTCTACTAAAACTAGAAAAAAGTAGCTGGGCGTGGTGGCGGGTGCCTGTAGTCCCAGCTGCTGGGGAGGCTGAGGCAGGAGAATGCCGTGAACCCGGGAGGCGGTGCTTGCAGTGAGCCGAGATCGCGCCACTGCACTCCAGCCTGGGCGACACAGTGAGACTCCATCTCAAAAAAAAAAAAAAAAAGAAAAGAAATGTTGTCACTGTGTGAGCCTTCTCTTGAGAGGAATCTCACTGAGCATTTTCTAAGCCTTACTGTTTGATGTCTATGTATTATCACTTTTAATTAAAGGATAAAATTTTAATTTCTTAAACTTAAAAAGTGTCCCTTGATAAATTAGGTAAGACTCATGGATATGTTAACATCTATGACTATTGCTATTTTAAATTTGGAAGTTTTCTGTTATATCTGTCTTTTTTTTTTTATTTTTTTTTTTGAGACGGAGTCTCGCTCTGTTGCCCAGGCTGGAGTGTGGCGGCGCCATCTTGGCTCACTGCAACCTCTGTCTACTGGGTTCCAGCAATTTTCATGCCTCAGCCTCCTGAATAGCTGGGATTACAGGCTCCTGCCACCACACCCAGATAATTTTTTCATTTTTAGTACAGACAAGGTTTCACCACATTGGCCAGGCTGGTCTTGAACTCCTGATCTCCGGTGATCCGCCCACCTTGGCCTTCGAAAGTGCTGGGATTATAGGCGTGAGCCACACCTGGCCCTGGCATTGCTTTTTTACTAGCTTTGAAAGATTTACTGACTACAAAAGCTACCCCTTCCCGACAGCTATTCTTGCCCGTTCCTGCCGGCATACCCTCCGTGAACACAGCAGTGATGCTCACATTTGCTGTCAGGTTCCTGGTGGGAATAGGACATCAGGCTTTTTCCAAATAGGACAAAAGAGTAGAAGCCTCCGTTTTGGTTCTGATGAAATCACATGTCTTTTTTTGGTCTTTTAACAATGAATGTTTCCAATGAATGTGTTTATGTTAAGGCTACAAGTTCATTTTGCTCATACGGGGCATCAGCAATAGCCAAGTAAAAAGCTTGTATTTCAGTACTTCGAGGTGTTGAAGTATTGGAACTTGCCAAAAACAACTTGAGGTAAATGTGGGGCATCAGCAACGTAAAAAATCAGTTTTTCCTTTTTAGGAAAGGAATACCAAGTAATAAAATGGTGCCAGCCATTCAGGGTTTTTTAGTTTAGTTTTTGTTTTGTTTTGAGACAGAGACTCACTCTGTCATTCAGGCTGGAGTACAGTGACACAATCTAAGCTCACTGAAACCTCTGCCTCCCAGATTCAAGTGATTCTCCTGCCTCAGCCTTCCAAGTAGCTGGGATCACAGGTGTGCGCCCCCATGCCCAGCTAATTTTTGTATTTTTAGCAGAGGTGGGGTTTCACCATGTTGGCCAGGGTGCTCTCGAACTCCTGGCCTCAAGTGATCCACCTCCCTCAGCCTCCCAAAGTGGTGGGATCACAGGCACATGCCACTATGGCTGGCTCATTTTTATATTTTTAGTAGAGATGGAGTTTCACCATGTTGGCCAGGATGGTCTCAAACTCCTGACTTGAAGTGATCTGCCCACCTCGGCCTCGAAAATTGCTGGGATTACAGGTGTGAGCCACCACGCCCAGCCTGCCATTTAGTCTTTAAGTTTCAATGTAGAAGATTTTTAAGGAAATTAAATGTTTCTCACAATTGTAGTTTACAATTACTGCTTTGTAGGACAGATGCTGTGGCAGTTTCTGGGGGCCATGCATCACCCTCTCTGCCACAGCTGCAGGATCTGATGTGGGTCTCAGAAAGCTGTGGGATCTGGTGGTGGGTTCTGGTGGTGGGATCTGGCGGTCTCTGCTTGGTTAGCCCCTCCTCAGTGGTGTGCTGGGTCTCTTTGAAAGCGGCTGGAGTGGATTTTGTGTGTGTGTGTGATGGTTGTATAGTTGTTGGCTTGTACGATATTGAGAATAGAGGAGAATCAACCAGTGCTTAATACCTGGGAAAGAAAATAATTTTAAAAAGGAGTGCATGATTTAAAACTCTGGTTAAAATTTTTTGGTAGCAGTAAGGTTATAATATTTATTTTATTGGATGTTCTACATTAATTTCCAAATCATGTCTTTGAACAAAAGATAATCTCTATAGTTATTTACTGGTGTTAATAGTTTATAAAGAATTTGAAATAACTGATAAGCCTATGTACAAACTACACAGGTAAACCTTAAATCAAAATATAAATTTGAAACATAAGGAAATGATCACCTAATTTTACTGAAAACCCAGGATACATCGGGGGTCTTAATGTGGTGTTACATTTTGTTCTGGGTCTCTTGGCTACCAAGGCACCCACTGAGAAAGGCGAAGGACAGAGTTCCAGGATCTGATCAAAGCAGTCAGCTCCTGAGAGACACAGACACTCTTGGCACCCAAGGAAAAATGTTTCAATGTCCACACGTTGCCCAGCAGGGAT